TCTTTGACGTGTGCTAAGTTAGAAATGTCAAAGGGTAAGAAAGTCATTTTGCTCATTTTAATTTAGGAACTAGTAGAAAAACATGTTTGCGCGACGGCATCTTGCGCGACGAAGAAAATTTTGTAGCGCAAAGTCCGTTTGCGCGACGTATAACACAAAACGTCGCGCAAACGTACTTTACGCGACGGTACTTTGCGCGACGAATAAAGAGTTGTGCAAAACGGCTTTGCGCGACGCAGGTGGGCATACGTCGCGCAAAACTGCTTTGCGCGACGCCGTCATTCGTCGCCAAACTTTTGGCGCCAAACCAAGAAGGTTTACCGCGTTTTTCGTTGACTTTGCGCGACGTAGGTCCTTATGTGTCGCGCAAAACAGCTTTGCGCGACGTAGGATTATATGCGTCGCGCAAAACATCTTTGAGTGACGAAGACTGGCGTCGCGCAAAGCTGTTTTGCACGACGTATGCCCACCTGCGTCGCGCAAAGCCGTTTTGCACGACGCAGGGCATGAACGTCGTGCAAAGTCTTTTTTTTTTTTTTTTTCTTTGGTGTTCTTGCATTGCCTTTTTCTTTGTGGTATCCACTTGTGTAAATGTTTTAAATTGATGATCGAATTAGTTCATTATATTTATATAGGGTTAAAGAGTGTAGTTGTAAAAAATCATCAAAATCGGAGTTAAAATAACCGTTAAATCATGATTTTTCATTTATAGCCATAAAAAAGGTTTGTCCCCTTACCTAATTTCTGCATGTTTGTTTTTTGTGATTTTTGGCGTACACGATCTCGAAGCATATACAAACAAGTTTGACGGTTGGATTATTGAAACTAGTTTCGTACAATGCATATCTGATCAAAACATTAGATTCACTAACAATTGGAGTTTATTTATACTTTCATTGAGTATAACATAAGATTTTGTGGTATTCACTTGTGTAAATATTTTAAATTGACGATCGACTTTGTTCATTGTATTCATATAGGATCAAGGAGTGTAGCTTTAAAAAATCATCAAAATCGGAGTTAAAATAACCGTTAAATCGTGCTTTTTCGTTTATAACCGTCGAAAAGGTTTGTCCCATTGCTTGACCTCTGCATCTTTGTTTTTTGGGATTTTTGGCATACACGATCTCGAAGCATATACAAACAAGTTTGACGGTTAGATTGTTGAAACTATTTCTGTACAATGCGTATCTGATCAAAACATTAGATACACTAACAATTGGAATTTATTTATACTTTCATTGAGTATAACATAAGATTTTGTGGTATCCACTTGTGTAAATATTTTGAATTGACGATTGACTTTGTTCATTGTATTCATATAGGATCAAGGAGTGTAGCTTTAAAAAATCATCAAAATCGGAGTTAATATAACCGTTAAATTGTGCTTTTTCATTTATAGCCGTCGAAAAGGTTTTTCCCGTTACTTGATCTCTGCATCTTTGTTTTTTACGATTTTTGGCGTACACGATCTCGAAGTATATACAAACAAGTTTGACGGTTAGATCATTGAAACTAATTTCGTACAATGCGTTTCCCATCAAAACATTAGATTCACTAACACTAGGAGTTTTTTTATACTTTCATTAAGTATAACATAAGATTTTGTGGTATCCACTTATGTAAATATTTTAAATTGATGATCAAATTAGTTCATTGTATTCATACAGGATCAAGGAGTGTAGCTTTAAAAAATCATCAAAATCGGAGTTAAAATAACCGTTAAATTGTGCTTTTTTGTTATAGCCGTCGAAAAGGTTTGTCCCGTTACTTGATCTCTGCATCTTTGTTTTTTACAATTTTTGGCGTACACGATCTCGAAGTATATACAAACAAGTTTGACGGTTAGATCGTTGAAACTAATTTCGTATAATGCGTTTCCCACCAAAACATTAGATTCACTAACACTTGAAGTTTTTTTATACTTTCATTAAGTATAACATAAGATTTTGTGGTATCCACTTATGTAAATATTTTAAATTGACGATCGAATTAGTTCATTGTATTCATACAGGATCGAATTAGTTCATTGAATGATATATATGTAAAAGATATTATTGTGGGTTTTTGTTAGAAAAATATATTACTGTGGGGTTTATCTAAAAAAAATTGAATTTGAAATGAAGAAAGTCACATTTTCAGTAATTTTTATATCTAAAAAAAATATATCACAAGTCATCTTCTGTGAGGAAGCCAGAAAGGTATTTTTGAGTTATATATTATCATGGATTGGTATATATTTTTCTCTCTTTCTTTTATGTTGATCATATGGTTTAATTACACAAATATTAATTATTTTTGGTTCCACATGCATGCAGTTCACATTTAATGTAATAGTGAAGCAAGTGCTAGGTTTAACCCCAGATGAGCCACAGACTACACAAATTCTTGAAGATTTCCTGACTTTCATGAGAGGGCTCATTTCTCTTCCTCTCTATATTCCTGGAACTCCATATGCTAGAGCTGTTAAGGTACCTAATATACGAATAATGTTTTACGCGAACTTGTTTTGCAAAACAATGTTTATTTTGCCAAACTGTGAATCAGAATCATAAATTTAAATAAAAATCAACATAATTAATGATTGTAAGTATGTTTATATATATTGTTAAATAGTCTAACAAGAGAATATTTAACAATATAATTAATGATTCTGGAAGTTGATACCATATGCTTTACAACGATTAAAGGTAATTAATTACCCAAAAACACTTATCTCCTCTTTCATACAAAGCTTAATTAATAAGTTACATTTGATTAACTTTCTTTAATATATCAATTATTTATAATTAATTTCTTCGTCCGGCTGCAAGACAAAGCATGTTCATTTATTTTCGAGGATTACAAGTGCGGAAAAAAAAAATAATGTATCTAACAAAGCATGTTCATGTTGGACACAGAGCCTGCGCACTGAACACTAAGAGCTAGGGACTCTTGAACGGCCAACTCATCGGACCGTCCTGAAAGCAGCTGACTATCTCTTTCTTTGTGAGAAGGTTCCGAGTTTAGGGATGCAAATCTGGTTATGGAGTGTAAATTCCATCTTCTCCTTGGTAATTGCATTGAGGCTTAGATCTTTGTGATTCCACAGGCTTACTCTTGAACTGCGCTGCTCCCATCGTTGATTTTCCTTTGTGCTACTCTTGAACTGGGCAGCAGGCTTCCTTTGGTCTCCCCTGAAGGTCTGAGCTTCCTCCTTTTATCTGTTTCTTTGTTCAATCTCTCCAATTCGTATTGAAGAGGGTTAGAGGATAGCTCAGCATATGCAGTTGTTGCTTGTCTCCACATGCTTCAATGTGTCATTTTCACTTGCCTTACTTGCTTCTTTTACTTTGCTATGCGAGTAATAACAAAGACAAAGGAAAATACAGGGAAAGAGCATGATATGAGATACTTTTGCTTTTGACCTTGATGATATGAGATACCTTTGCTTTTGAAGAAGCGGTGAATGAATCAGCACATGTATTTGTTGTGCTGTTTCCTCCTGGGTCATCTGTACTCCAGGCATCTGGTATCATCTTTGGGGAAGAAGAAAGAATTGAGTATTTCGAAAGGCTTTGCTGGGAGTGCGCCCTCAAAAGTGAGGAAGAGTTGGGCATTTTCTTCAGGTTTGCCTTGCCATAAAAGATGAAGGTCGAAAGGCTTTTTGAAATAGTGACGCCTCTTCGATTTCTGAACGACGCCTCTTCGATTTCTGAGCAGGCGCCCCTTCGATTTCTGAGCGACACCCCTTCGCTTTCTGAACGACACGTAGTAGTGCGGATGCGGCTCTTTTGACAAAGCTGCATGCGTTTTCTGAAAAGTAGAGAAAGCGTCGTCGAACTTTGCGTTTGTCGGCTAAAGATGTGTAGTTGCGATGATGGCCTCCACGTGTTTTCACTTTGTCAGATATCTTTTGACAAAGTGAACGCGTTTTCTGAAAAGTGAGAGATCGTCGCCGAACTTTGCGCAGGAAATCCGGGAGCTTTTGACAAAGTGTGCAGCTGATTTTACGCGTTTTCTGAATCGGTGAACGCCTCTCCTTTAATAGAGGTGATCGATCACCTCTATCATGCACACTCTGAAGATTGCCCAGAAATCATCTCCGGCCCGTCGAGATTTTATTCCATCCAACCTTCTTTTTTAACTTCTTGAAAAATGGCCAGCTCATCTAACCCATCGAACATTTGCTTAGATTTGAGTCTAAGCAGTGATCCTCTTACAGTTGAGGATAAGGTATGGTGCCCGTCTTTCTTATCTTCTTATGGCCCTCTTACAGTTGAGGACTCTGTGATGACGGATGCAACAATGGCTACGATAGTAGCTCGGAACCTCCTCACTCCCAAAGATAGTCAGCTGCTTTCTGGACGGTCCGATGAGTTGGCCGTTCAAGAGTCCTTGGCTCTTAGCGTTCAGTGCGCTGGCTCTGTGTCCAACATGGGCCAACGCCTTCTTGCTCGCTCCCGTCAGGTTGAATCCTTGATGGCGGAGGTGGAGAGTCTTAAGCAGGAGATCAAACAGCTTAAGTACGAGAACCGAAGTTTGCACGTGCTTGCCAACAATTATTCGACAGGCATGAAGAGGAAGCTTGATGAGCTTGATGACCGTCAAAGGCTTGCAGCTTTCTTCCAGATGCATCTTTTTCCTGGGTCATCCAGCGTTCCACCAAGGATTGGGGCCTTGAATGATCTATCTTCGGTGCCTCCCGCTCCTATGCCTTCTGCTCCGATGCCTCCTGCTCCGATGCCTCTTGCTCCGAGAGTGTTGCCACGTAGTGGGGCCTCACGTACACAACCCTTGTGAAGGCTCCATCTTTCTCTTTCTTTGTTAGATACAATTGTAATTTCTCAAAAAATCAATGAACAAGCTTTGTTTTATTCTATTGGATTCTCTTGCCTTTGCCGAAATTTGAAGCATATATTTAATTAAACATGGACTATTAGGTTTCTTATCTCTGGTGACTAGGAAAGTAGAAAAAAAGTGTTCAAGGTGCCCAACTAAACCGTACTTATCTCTGAGGCTACTCCTACGGCGTCTCAGGTGCCCGTATCATCAACATCATCAGTGTCGGTTCAACCTCTCAGTGCACGGCGGCCTCACCGTCGCCGCCGCGAGTTGGAGCCTGGTGATCACGCTTCCTCCTCCTCCGGAGTCGATGGTGGGGCCTCCCAACCAGGTAGTTTTTTTTCTAATTCTCACTACATTGTATTTTTTTTTTCTATTTTAAAACTATTATTTTATGATTGTGAAAATTTGTTGGATTGTGAAAATGTGTTGCGGGTTGTGAATTACTGTTTTAAGGTTTTGGGAAATGATATACTATTAGGGGAGGTTTTGCCTAATTTTTTGTACAAATTTAAGCTTTTTACCATTTAAGTTTTTTTGGGCAGCTAAAAAAAACACCAGGGGGCCTAATCGAATGCTAAAGGAGGCACAGGCTGTACGTATGTCCGCCTCCTTGATCAAGATTGCATATGACTCGCAACATCGTGGAGCGGCTACCTCACAGCAGCATAGCAGCGTTGTTACTAGCTGTGGTTATGTTATTCGGAATTGTTGTCCTATGCGGTGGGAGTCTTGGGCACGAATTCCCGAGGAGACGAAGAAACTGGTGCGAGACAAGTTGTCGGTTAGTAAATTAATTTTTAGCCCTTATCATTTTTTTTTTAATTTTGTTTACAAATATTATAAACCAAAGTATATTATCTTAATATTATTAAATTTCTTAATATTATTTTATTGTTTTTCATATTTGTAGGTCAATTTTGATGTTAAGGACTTATCCCCTGAGGTCAGTGCCTACTTAGAGGGGACCTTAGCAAACCGGTACAAAGATTGGAAGAGCGTTTTTCACACGCATTTTCAGCTATGGGATGATCCGGAGATTGCTCGCCTAGAGGGTTGCCCAAACGAGTTGAGGGACCGGCCAGAGGATTGGGAGTGGCTCTGTAAACATTTTATGGATCCAAAATTTGTGGTATGTACATAATACTTTAATAATAATTTACTGTTTTTGTTATCTTTTTAAGCTTTTTTTAATAATTTCATTCAAATAATCGCACTAACATGTATATTGTATGTTTAACAGAAGAAATCTATTGTTGGCAAGAAAGCTCGGGACTCAAAGACACTTCTCCACCATTCCGGTTCGAAGCCCTTTTCGTATAGGCTTGAGGCACGACGTCAGGTAAAAGTATATTAATTTTTAAATTTTATACATTTTATTCTTTATTATTGACTAATAAAATTTACTTAATGATTTTTTTTTAGGAGGGTTCTAAGTTCCCACAAATTGACTTGTTCAATGACGTTTACGTTCGACCCGGCAATGAGACCGCTAAGGAGCTTCATGTAAGTATATGTAATTCTTATTATTCTTATTTTTACGAATCGTTCAAATATTATTTATATTTTGTTATTGAACATTATATGTTTTTTCTTTATTATTACAGGATGTTATGGTGGAAAAGTCCACTGCTGTTCTCCAAGAAGCAACATCCCAGCTTCCCCCGGAGACCCCGATCGAGGAAGTCAATGTACCCGATGATGCAGATATTCAGATCGTGACTGAGGTCTTGGATCAGAAGTTGGGTCGTCGTTATGGCAAGGTTGTTCGATGTATGGGGAAGGCGGGGGTTCCTGAGACGGGTGCCTCCTCTTCCACATCGTCCATAGGAGAGGTCAATGCCTTGAAGGAGGAAGTGACAACCCTAAAAGGTCAGCTTGTGGCCCAGGGCGAGCACATTAGGACCCAGGACGAGAGGATGAGTATGATTGTACAAGCTTTAGCGATGTCCGGCCTCCAGATCCCGATGCCAACACGTGATGTTGCTCCACCTTCAACTTCCCAGCCACTTCATCCAGCTGATACCCAGTAGCATGATGTATCCTAGAAGACTAGTAGTTTTTTTTTTGTTTTTGGACATCTTGTGTGTACATTTTTATATATTTTATAATTAAATATTTTTTATTGGTTTAATAATTATTGTTTAGAATTTCATTACAATATTTATTAAAAATTAAATAAAAAAAATTCTTTGGCCAAAAAAAAAAAAGGTTTGCGCGACGAAGAAGTGATCTGCGTTGCGCAAAACCACTTTGCGCGACCCAGGTTATTAGTTGCGCAAAGTTGTTTTGCGCGACACAGGACCTAGGTTGCGCAAAGTGGTTTTGCGCAACGCAGATCACTTCTTCGTCGCGCAAACCTTTTTTTTTTTGGCCAAAGAATTTTTTTTATTTAATTTTTAATAAATATTGTAATGAAATTCTAAACAATAATTATTAAACCAATAAAAAATATTTAATTATAAAATATATAAAAATGTACACACAAGATGTCCAAAAACAAAAAAAAAACTACTAGTCTTCTAGGATACATCATGCTACTGGGTATCAGCTGGATGAAGTGGCTGGGAAGTTGAAGGTGGAGCAACATCACGTGTTGGCATCGGGATCTGGAGGCCGGACATCGCTAAAGCTTGTACAATCATACTCATCCTCTCGTCCTGGGTTCGTCGCGCAAAGTGGTTTCGCGCAACATATATCACTTCTTCGTCGCGCAAACCCTGCTTTCACGCACTTAGCGCAACGATGAATACGCGACGAACGTCCGTTGGGCTAATTTTTGCACGCCGTTTTTTGACTTTGCGCGACGAAGGTCCTGCGTCGTGCAAAGCCTTTTTTGCGCGACGAAGAAGTGATCTGCGTTGCGCAAAACCACTTTGCGCGACCCAGGTTCTTAGTTGCGCAAAGTTGTTTTGCGCGACACAGGACCTAGGTTGCGCAAAGTGGTTTTGCGCGACGCAGGAAATTCGTCGCGCAAAGTGGTTTTGCGCAACATAGATCACTTTTTCGTCGCGCAAACCCTGCTTTCACGCACTTAGCGCAACGGTGAATGCGCGACGAACGTCCGTTGGGCTAATTTTTGCACGACGTTTTTTGACTTTGCGCGACGAAGGTCCTGCGTCGTGCAAAGCCTTTTTTGTACTAGTGAAAACTAATGAAAATAACTTAAAAACTTTGAGTTTTAATGATAAGAACAAAATAAAAGGTAACATGAATAGTACCAGAATTAACTTTTTAGTGTAAAAATATGGTTTTTCGTTAAAGCTCCTTTTTAATTTTCAACTTTTTTTACTCTTTCTAAATTTTCATTCTCTCACAACGCTCATGGAGGAGACCCCCAACATGAGAATCCAGCAGCCTCATGTTGCAGGTGGTGGTGCTCCAGTGCATCATCTGTTACACTCTCATCCTCTTCCTCTTCCTATTCCAATACCGCCGCGGGAAGCTCTTAATCACGGCGCAGTTCCTAGAGACCGCTGCCTCCACCATCTTCTTGGAAACAGTTGCCGACAACAGCGAAGAAGGCAAACACCACGTCAAGGTACGAAAATCCAACGCCTCCAGGCAGTCGCTCTCTGCAATGACACATCGTGTGAGATCCCAATCACCAATGGCGTCAAGCAAGGTGTTATGGACGTTAGCGACGTCTCTCATCTGGAAATTACACCGTTGAATCTGTTGCCTTCATCAAGAGGACATCTCTTCCAATAAGATCGCGGTCTTCTCCAAGTTGCTGGATTCCATTCTACAAAGATATGAGGACAAAAAGCCTTTGCCCGTCATGGGTAAAATAACAAATAACTCTTTTGTCCTCAGAGCAACTGGGCAACACATGATAAAAAAAATGAACGGAATATTTGTTTAAAAAATTGGAAAATCAAAAGACAGGAAATTTGACTAATTATTAGACAAAAAATGAACCAAATTTTTTTAAAATTTTTTTTAGCACAATTAGATACCACAATCGTTTGATTTGGCTAATATTTTGCAAAAGAATTTATGCGTTGAGACGAGAGAAATAGATTATTCTAATTATTGAAACTCAAATAAACAAAAGAATAAAATTCAAAGTGAAGTGGACCTCATAAGTAGTCTTCTTCTTCTTCTTCTTTTTTTTTTTTTTTCTGAAAGTATTGGAATCACTTTCCTTTAAAGACTTGTCCGTGCGAGATTTAGCTCAAAAGCCTGGCCAACTTCACCCTCGCAACGACATTGAGCTCGAACAACTTCAGCTTAATACTGCAATTTTAAGACCAAACACGACCTAACTTAATTTTTCGCCTAACTCTCAATCATGTTTGAAATTTGATGAAGTATATGTTTGTCAAATTTTTACAAGTAAACATGTCGTGGACGTGGACTTAAAAATGAAGAGGGATTATATTCACACTCTCCAAATAACTTTTTTACATCCTTTTAATTTTTTTAATATTTTTTATCAAATATTAGTGGTATGCAGAAAATATTAACAAATTTAAAAAATGCGGAGGAAATAATTTGAGATATGTGAATATAATATCTCAAAATGAACATTTTATATGTGTACAATGATCAACTCAACTATTAATATCAGCCCAACAAAACGACTCCAAAGTCAATCATGTACATACAGAGGAATGATATATGAATTCTTTTGACCGAGAAATCTCGGTCACCAAAACCAGATGGTTGACCACTTGTTAAAATCTTTTTAATTGCAGCAAACCCAGGTCGACAAGTGCCTTATAACTGAAATTTGAAATTCCCGGCACAACACACATCTGTCACAGAGAGAGAGAGAGAGAGAGAGAGAGAGAGAGAGAGAGAAGGAAATGGACCAATATATCCTCAAAGTATTGGAAGGTGAATTGTTATGGTATGACGAGAGACCTCCAGTGGTACTGAATCAAAGCGCTTTTGTGCCGTACACAAATACACCCGTCATTGATAAGCTTCCCAATGATGTCACAAAATCCATGAATACGAACAAGAGGATACTGCAATTCTTGAGGAAAAGCTGGCAACCTGCAACGGCAAGAAATGAAGCCGAACAGGACGGCAGACAACGGGTTCGCCGCATGATCAACGAGCGCATGAGAAGGGAGAAGCACAAGCAGAGCTACTTAGCCTTGCATTCTTTACTGCCCAAGGGAACCAGGGTGGGTATATTCAGTTAACCACATTAAACTAAATTTAATATCCGTTATCAGCACTCCAAAATAGTATAGTTTCTTAATCGGATTTTCATGAAAGTGTTTTTATTGGAGTGATCCACATCACCTCTTGCACATCCTTCTGTTTTTTCTAGACATTGAGTTGATGAACAAATTAAAAGAGATTCAAGAACCAGAATTAAAAGGGTGTTCAGAAGATGAAAAATGATATGCAAATATCACTCCTATGAAAAATTTAGAGGAGCATATAACTATTTCGAATTGCGCAAATGAGCAAGAGATTTGTTATATAATTGTTTGGTGTTCCAATTCTACATGTTGCAGAGTGATAAGAATTGGATTGTGCAAATGACTGCTATGAACATTCAGCGGCGGGAGAGGTACAAGGAGGAATTGATCAAGAGGAACGTGGAGCTGGAAGAACTTTTGGTAGAAAATGAAAAGGAAAGAGTGAAATGGAGCAAGATGAGCTTAAAAGTGGCTAATCCTACATCAGGAATTGATTCTATGTTGGAGGTTCTTAAGTGCTTGCAATATTTGGGTTTGAAAGCCAGAAATGTTCACTCTAATTTCTCTCCTGAGGAGTTTTCAGCAGAACTGGAAATTGAAACCAAGGTATGCATGCACATAATTTTGAAGTTATCATAAATTCTTGCTATTTTTTCATTTGTAATGCTAGGGAGACAAAATTTTGCAAACTAAATGATATGGAAGTTGATGATTGAATTATTATTTAAGCGTTGATAAATGTGCTCATTTCTATTGGTGACATATCATTTAATTTGTAAATTTTGTCGACAAAAATAGTCTCCCTAGCATTACTTTTTTTTCAAAATTAAATAAAAAGGAGTAGGATAGATGATTTCCCCTTTAAATTTCACTCATACTAATTGATCTGATTTTGATAAGGTAAGATAAATTTGAACAAAATAAAAAAATTCATTATACCTAGTACTTTTTCTCTTTAACAACTAATCTAATATACCAAAAAAAAAAAAAAAAAAAAAGAATTTCAATTTGAGCGCAAAACGACAATCAGATTGTCTTAACCAAGTACTTTATTTTATTTAAAATGGTCATTACGTTTGGTTCTAGGCCAAGAATGACAACTACGTTTTATAGTCTTGTGCTTTGCATGGACATACATAGGATAGGAAGATAGAACAATTCTTATTCATAAATTAATTGAATATAGGAGAACGCACACGTGGTGTTTTTCACCACTCACCCCTTATATAATAAAACACTAAAATTCTGTATTTTATTGTATTTTTGGGAAGATTGGAGCTGCAGAGATAGAAGAGGCTGTGCAAGAAACACTCAATGAAGCTGAGAGGAAATTGCGTTTTCCATTTCCAGGAAGGTGAAGGGAGACAGGAATTTGGTGCTCCAATTGACAACTTTTGAAATATGGGAAACAAATAGGTCAATTTGTCTTTTCATGGCTTGAAAATTTTCAACTTATCGAATTTAACTACAAGTTTATATTTTCAAGCATGACTATTAATATACTCTAATTTAAAACGTGGAAATGATGTGATGAATGGCATACTATTATCAGAACTTTTCAAAAACTTGTTAACAACTTTGCTTTTTGGTCGGAGAAAACTTTGTATGCATGAGCACTCGGAGATCGTACGTCCGCCCACGCAAAAGTTCAAAATTTTCGAAAAACTTGTAAATTTTAGGAATTAAATTATAATTCGGAAAATCTAGGATACTTGATCAGTTTCCAATATTCGTGATTTCTGAACTTGGAAAAGAATTTGATTCCATAGAGGCATTGGAAGACATCACATCAAAATGTGTAAGATAAAAAGGAAACAAAGCAGCAACTTTATTTGCATTCAAACCAATTGGTGCGAATTACGGATTTAGCAAGCGCACGATGTTTAAAAAAATTCTTTGATAATTTATTTAATGTAAAATCTCTCAAAAGATAGTTAAAATAAACGGACGAACAAACGAA